AGACTGTTGTGATTGTTACCTGTACAGACTGTTGTGATTGTTACCTGTACAGCCTGTAGTGATTGTTACCTGTACTGACTGTTGTGATTGTTACCTGTACTGACTGTTGTGATTGTTACATGTACTGACTGATGTGATTGTTACCTGTACTGACTGTTGTGATTGTTACCTGTACTGACTGTTGTGATTGTTACATGTACTGACTGTTGTGATTGTTACATGTACTGACTGTTGTGATTGTTACCTGTACTGACTGTTGTGATTGTTACCTGTACTGACTGTTGTGATTGTTACCTGTACTGACTGATGTGATTGTTACATGTACTGACTGTTGTGATTGTTACCTGTACTGATTGATACCTGTACTGACTGTAGTGATTGTTACATGTACTGAGTGTTGTGATTGTTACCTGTACTGACTGTTGTGATTGTTACATGTACTGACTGTTGTGATTGTTACCTGTACTGACTGTTGTGATTGTTACCTGTACTGACTGTTGTGATTGTTACCTGTACTGACTGATGTGATTGTTACATGTACTGACTGTTGTGATTGTTACCTGTACTGATTGATACCTGTACTGACTGTAGTGATTGTTACATGTACTGAGTGTTGTGATTGTTACCTGTACTGACTGTTGTGATTGTTACCTGTACTGACTGTTGTGATTGTTACCTGTACAGCCTGTAGTGATTGTTACATGTACTGACTGTTGTGATTGTTACCTGTACTGACTGTTGTGATTGTTACCTGTACTGACTGTTGTGATTGTTACCTGTACTGACTGTTGTGATCGTTACATGTACTGACTGTTGTGATTGTTACCTGTAGAGACTGTAGTTATTGTTACCTGTACTGACTGTTGTGATTGTTACCTGTACAGCCTGTAGTGATTGTTACATGTACTGACTGTTGTGATTGTTACCTGTACTGACTGTTGTGATTGTTACATGTACTGTCTGTTGTGATTGTTACCTGTACTGACTGTTGTGATTGTTACCTGTACTGACTGTTGTGATCGTTACATGTACTGTCTGTTGTGATTGTTACCTGTACAGACTGTAGTGATTGTTACCTGTACTGACTGTTGTGATTGTTACCTGTACAGCCTGTAGTGATTGTTACATGTACTGACTGTTGTTATTGTTACCTGTACTGACTGTTGTGATCGTTACATGTACTGTCTGTTGTGATTGTTACCTGTACTGACTGTTGTGATTGTTAACTGTACAGACTGTAGTGATTGTTACATGTACAGCCTGTAGTGATTGTTACCTGTACCAACTGGTGTTATTGTTACCTGTTCTGCCTTGTGTGATTGTTACCTGTACTGACTGCTACGAATTCTGCATAAGGTGTTAGTAATGATTGTAAAACAGTAAACTGCAAAACTATAAAACTATGTCTGTATACATGCAACTGTCGATAAAACACGCAACATTCACACCCATATAGTCATTCATCTAACTTTCGGAAAGAAAACCTTTCACTAAAATACCTATTGTAGCCAACTGTATATTCGCGTGTCATACGTGTGTGATGTGTCATATATGAAATATGCATAATAGCCTAATCTCGTGTTTACCGCTGTCTTAACTGAACCTTTACATTTCAATCCTCGCGACCACTCCTTCCTATCGACTGCTATAGCGAGGAAATACCTTATCCGTCGCAATGTGCTATTTATAGCGCCAACGTGTGCAGGGGACCACTTCGGGGAATCACTCACAACAAAGTCTCGTGCAAAGTAGGAGGACGGGACGATCAGTCATGGCTTCTGTGCAGTGATGGGCTACCGTCTCTTTGGAACAATAGTTTGGGTGACACTTTGGTAGGTTTTAACTTGATTAAATTATGACCTGGCACGTGCCGATAGTCAGAGGAGCGTCGTGCATGGTGACACATTTATATCCTACGCCGGATCTAGTGTCTAGTGTGTGTTTGAAGGGAGGAAGGTTGTTATTCTTCCCCTGTGTTACCTAACCGCATCTAAACACGGCGTCAGGGATAACATTGACTGTAACATATAGGATATTGTTATAACATTGACTGTAACATATAGGGTATGTTACAGTCAATGTGTAGAAACAGTCTGTGTAAAATGGCTGTAAAATGGCTGTAATTTTCACGTAGACAAGTTACCAAACGCCAAATCATTTAAGTAATTTTACAACTATTTTTCCGTTTAGTATATTATGATAACGAATTCCAAACATTTGAAAATGATAGGATTAAAAAGAAAGAAAGTAAATGTATATTTTTTTTTGTTTTTTTGCTTCTAATCCTCTTCGCTTTTTTTTGTAAGGGCGACGACGCAACAACAATACGACAATGCGACAACGCGACAATGTCCCGTCCAGATATGCACTGTGATAACCTCACAACAGAATAGGTACCCCTAGTAGTGTGGCCGCACGTCACGCAGATACCGCCGGTCGACTGACACGGAGGCCCTGTGTTGGTGACTGATAATAGGCCTTGATAAATATTTTTGTTGTATTTAATCTTTGTAAGGAAACGACGAAGTAGGATAAGCACCCTGTTGACCTACTAGATGTGCATAATTAAAGGGTGGCCAGGCTCGCTGATTTGGTTGATGCATGTCACTGTATCTCATGTGTAGATCGATGTTCATGACGTTGATCACTGGATTGTCTGGTCCACTCTCGGTTATTAACATACCGACGTCATATAGCTGGAATATTGCTGAGTGCAGAGTGGAACCTAAAAGTGTCCACATGTACTTCACCTTCAAGACACACCTGGCAGTCACAGTAAACTTTTGTCCTCTGCATATGTGTTATTTAGGGAATTTAAAAGTTTCTTTGAACAGTTCTGAATGTATAGAATATTCGCAATAATCTAAATTTAGGCCTGGTCATAGATTAAATGAAGTGAGCTGATTGGCTGTTGACATTCCTTTAGAATATGCCAAATTTGTAAAAATGAAATAGAAGATGAATATTACTCTCTCAACGTATGTATATAGTCGTGATAGAAAAATATAGTTTGTTGTAGCTTTTTTGACTCTGTGAATCTGGGGTTTTGAATGAACAAAAGGGGCGATGGGGTAGCCTAATTGTTTAAGCGATCGCTCGTCACGCAGAAAACCCGGGTTCGATTCCTCACAAGGGTACAATGTGTAAAGCCCATTTCTGCCCCCACCCCCCACCCCCGACGTGATATTGCTGGGATATTGCTAAAAGCGGCGTAAAACCATCACTCGTGCACTCACGAAGGAACAAAAGAATTAATTTATCGATTAAATTTACTCTTCTCGAGAAACCTGAGCCACACATTGCGCGACAAACAACTCGAGCGTCACGAGTTCTTTGTCAGTGCAATGGAAATCAGATCACACCTTCAATGAGAGATACAATTACGTTCGGTCTCGGTAAAGAATGTTGCGAACCATGGTCTAATTCGGTTAACAACTGAAGTCAGCTTTACAAGTGGTACCCCTGACACGGTACAGTCCACCATGTTGTAGAAGGGCTACCCCCGACACTGTACAGTCTACCCTGTTGTAGAAGGGCTACCCCTGACACGGTACAGACTACCCTGTTGTGAAAGGGCTACCCCCGACACTGTACAGTCTACCCTGTTGTAGAAGGGCTACCCCTGACACTGTACAGTCTACCCTGTTGTAGAAGGGCTACCCCCGACACGGTACAGTCTACCCTGTTGTAGAAGGGCTACCCCTGACACGGTACAGTCTACCCTGTTGTAGAAGGGCTACCCCTGACACTGTACAGTCAACCCTGTTGTGGAAGGGCTACCCCCGACATTGTACAGTCCACCCTGTTATAGAAGGGCTACCCCTGACACTGTACCGTCTACCCTGTTGTAGAAGGGCTACCCCCGACACTGTAAATCTTCCCTATTGAAGAAGGGCTACCCCCGACACGGTACAGTCTACCCTGTTGTGAAAGGGCTACCCCCGACATTGTACAGTCCACCCTGCTGTAGAAGGGCTACCCCCGACCCAGTACAGTCTACCCTGTTGTAGAAGGGCTACCCCCGACACTGTACAGTCTACCCTGTTGTAGAAGGGCTACCCCCGGCATTGTACATTCTACCCTGTTGTAGAAGGGCTACCCCCGACACAGTACAGTCCACCCTGTTGTAGAAGGGCTACCCCTGACACTGTACAGTCCACCCTGTTGTAGAAGGGCTACCCCCGGCATTGTACAGTCTTCCCTGTTGTAGAAGGGCTACCCCCGACACTTTGCAGTCCACCCTGTTGTAGAAAGGCTACCCCCGGCATTGTACAGCCTTCCCTGTTGTAGAAGGGCTACCCCTGACACTGTACAGTCCACCCTGTTGTAAAAAAGCTACCCCCGACACGGTACAGTCTAGCTACCCTGTTGTAGAAGTGCTACCCCTGACACAGTACAGTCCACCCTGTTGTAGAAGGGCTACCCCTGACACGGTACAGTCCACCCTATTGTAGAAGGGCTACCCCTGACACAGTACAGTCCACCCTGTTGTAAAAGAGCTACCCCCGACACTGTACCGTCTACTACCCTGTTGTAGAAGGGCTCCCCCTGACACGGTACAGTCCACCCTGTTGTAAAAGAGCTACCCCCGACACGGTACAGTCTACCCTGTTGTAGAAGGGCTACCCCCGACACGGTACAGTCTACCCTGTTGTAGAAGGGCTACCCCTGACACGGTACAGTCCACCCTGTTGTAGAAGGGCTACCCCCGTCACGGTACCGTCCACCCTGTTGTAGAAGGGCTACCCCCGACACGGTACAGTCCACCCTGTTGTAGAAAGGCTACCCCGGACACCGTAAGTCTTCCCTGTTGTAGAAGGGCTACCCCTGAGACTGTAAGTCTTCCCTGTTGTAGAAGGGCTACCCCTGAGACTGTAAGTCTTCCCTGTTGTAGAAGGGCTACCCCCGACACGGTACAGTCTACCCTGTTGCGGAAGGGCTACCCTCGACACGGTACAGTCTACCCTGTTGTGGAAGGGGTACCCCCGACACTGTAAGTCTTCCCTGTTGTAGAAGGGCTACCCCTGACACCGTAAGTCTACCCTGTTGTAGAATGGCTACCCCCGACACGGTACAGTCTACCCTGTTGTAGAAGGGCTACCCCTGACACGGTACAGTCTACCCTGTTGTAGAAGGGCTACCGCCGACACTGTACAGTCTACCCTGTTGTAGAAGGGCTACGCCTGACACATAACAGTCCACCCTGTTGTAGAAGGGCTACCCCCGACACGGTACAGTCTACCCTGTTGTTGAAGGGCTACCCCCGACACGGTACAGTCTATCCTGTTGTGGAAGGGCTACCCCCGACACGGTACAGTCTACCCTGTTGTTGAAGGGCTACCCCCGACACGGTACAGTCTATCCTGTTGTGGAAGGGCTACTCCTGACACTGTACAGTCCACCCTGTTGTGGAAGGGCTACCCCCGACACTGTACAGTCCACCCTGTTGTAGAAGGGCTACCCCCGACACGGTACAGTCCACCCTGTTGTAGAAGGGCTACCCCCGACACGGTACAGTCCACCCTGTTGTAGAAGGGCTACCCCCGACACGGTACAGTCTACCCTGTTGTTGAAGGGCTACTCCTGACACGGTACAGTCCACCCTGTTGTTGAAGGGCTACCCCCGACACGGTACAGTCTACCCTGTTGTTGAAGGGCTACCCCCGACACGGTACAGTCTATCCTGTTGTGGAAGGGCTACTCCTGACACTGTACAGTCCACCCTGCTGTGGAAGGGCTACCCCGACACTGTACAGTCCACCCTGCTGTGGAAGGGCTACTCCTGACACGGTAAAGTCTACCCTGTTGTGGAAGGGCTACTCCTGACACTGTACAGTCCACCCTGTTGTGGAAGGGCTACCCCCGTCACGGTACACTGCACCCAGGATACAAGGGGTACTCTGTCTTGGTGTGTCTACTCAGTTGTTTGTATTAAAACAATATGTACCTTGAAAGATCATCGTTTATACTGTTTCAGCTGTTTGACTTTACCCAAATCGTCAAAAATCACATTCAAATAAGTGGTATAATCTGAAGTCGCGCTTATACCGTGTTTACGAGAATATTTTTGATAATGATAGCAATTTGTTATTTCTGAGAAAATAGGTCTTGTGTACGAGGATGAACCTTTGAGGGATGGCGGATTCCAAGAGAAATGAGACGTCAGGAGTGGCGACAGAAGAGAGTCTACAAACGGATGCAGGTTGGTGAAGATTATCTCACTCTCTGCTTCGTCCACTTCAATGTCACCTGGTCAATAACGGGCGGACGCTTTAACCAAAATCAGCGGAACCGGGTGAAGCAAAGGGACGCAACTCTGCATAGTTGAATTGTGACGCCTTAGACCACTAGCAAACTGTACTCTGCAGAGTGGCATTATGTTGCGTGTTACTATCCATTAACAGTGAGCTGATGTTCTCCCTTTACAGAATGATACACAGTTTTCACGAAATGCTGCTATTGTTCACGTGAATTCATAAAGCGAGCGGTTAAACGCCGGTTAGAATAGATTTTCACTTACCGTATTTCTTCGATTAAACGCTCGGGAGTGTATTACGAGAAAACTCCGTGAATATTAAGTGCCCGGCGTTTAATCTACATCCAGCGTTTAATCGAGGAAATACGGTATGCATACGGCTTGCGATGTAATGTGGGAGGAAAGCCCGAAGTGACGCATGTCTTAGATGTTTGCTAATTGGAGTGAAACCCATGACTTTGTTGCTGAAAAAAGCCAAGAAACATAGATTCGAACTCCCGATACTAGGTTTTGACACACCGGAGGGATGCAGCTTGCACAGCGAATTATACAGCCTTAGAAGATTGGGTCATCCGTGTCCCAATTAAGTCAAAATACTCAATACCCTTCACATATTATAATTGCTTAAATTTATGAGCAGATTCGTTTGGAAGTAAGGAAATGATGCAACTCCATATACTTTGTCGGACGCGAAATCCCATTGAATTATGTGCACTACATTTTTATAAACATTTCCTCCACAGTGATAGACTCTATGACAGACGGCATATCCCCGACTGTTGTCCACTCTAAAGCCACGGCAGGTACGTGTGTGTGTGTGTGTGTGTGTGTGTGTGTGTGTGTGTGTGTGTGTGTGTGTGCGCCCCTTTGCGTGCCTTGTGTGTGTCCGTGTGTTTGTGCGTGAACGTGCGTGCGTGTTTTCCTTGAAACCACTAAAAGTGGGTTTATGCGTGCATGTGTGTGTGCATATGTGTGTGCATGCGTGCGTAGGTGCTTGCGTGCGTTCGTTCGTTCTTTCGTTCGTTCGTTCGTGCGTGCGTGCGTGCGTGCGTGCGTGCGTCCGTGTTTTCACCCTGAAGCCGCAAAAGGTACAGGGACCTTAGCAACCTCTACCCAACAGAGCGCCATTTTTCTGCAAGGTGCCAATTAAATTCCATTCCATTACCACATTTAAACTGAGGTATTAAATTTGACAGTGATTATGTGTTACATCCTTTCGTTGACAGATTATTTTGAAAGGCAATTATTGTGAACGTAACGTTTTTCAGTGGGAGAGCCGTGTGATGACTCCAGAGTGTCACCTCATGATGTCTGTGGAGCGACCACACCGAAACAGGTTGTTGACAGCACTGGTAAGTGAATGTGCAAATGTCGCCGTAGAGTGGTACAGATTACATGATGCGGGAACCATGATCTATATCCATCATTTAACTCACGCATTTGTCATAATGGAAGTTCAGCACGTTCTCCTGAAGTGTTACTACATCCAGTGAGCTTCTGTACCTCTGTTGTTCCCTCTTACTACAGGGGGCCAGGGATCATCAGTGCCAGCCCCCACGGAGGAGTCTACAGTCCCCAAACAGGCTGCAGGTAAATGTGTACCGATACATCTAGACTTACTGAAGTGTGTGACTAAATGTTTACCGATACATCTAGACTTACTGAAGTGAGAGACTAAATGTTTACCGATACATCTAGAGTTACTGAAGTGTGTGACTGATTTTACGTTAACCTTGATTTGAAATGAATAATTCAAGCTTTTCTGATGACATAAAATACTCTGCTGCGTGTCAAGTATTTCAGCATCTGTACGGGAATTATTTTTCTGTTTAGATAGTGGAGGGAGCATACCCAGTTCCAGGTGTGCCAGAGATGAGATGAGTCAAACAGCACCAAGGGCAACGGTAGAAGCTGTTTTACCATCATTTATCTGTCTTCTTCCATATCAATGTTGATAAAGAAATATTAAATATGATACTTTTCATTTAAATAAAAATGTTCATGGCTAAGCTTTAAGGTGTTTTTCTTTCTCTCGCAAGGAAAGAGGAAATGGAAACCACAACATGCAGAGGTTTTGTAGGACTCCAGTGATATCCCCTTTCGAGAAATATTGTAAAACGAACGGGAGTGTATTCTGTTATTTGATTGGTTGATTAACGTTGTTGAAATGGATTTGAAATTTTCGGTTATTCATTCACATGACAACCCATTCATTATATCTATTAATCTATCAATATTTTATCAGAACAAATTCAATTCAGTTATTTGTCCTCCTTGAAAGTATGTATGTGCATGCCAATAAATATTTCTGACATTTGAATATTGAAGAGGAACAACACGTTTAAACGTCTTTTCCTGAATATGTTCTGATATCCTAAACAATCAGAATCGTATTTGGTTTCATCAGGTCTCCACGAATCCCCCAACTCCCATGACCATTTCCATGATTGGCTGCACAAACATACAACTTGAACTGGCCACAGGTTAGTACACACACAGCTTAACACGAACACGCCCGTGCGCATGAGGTTGGTTAATTTCTGTCGTATGACTCAGCGACAGCCAAATGCGGAAGGAAGACCCAGGACGCAGGTCGTACGCGTATGCCATTTTGGCAAACTTTGACATGGTTCTGACTGATCAAAGATGAAGGCCAATGAGGATTGGAATCCATGTTCAGATGCCTTGCAAGACTAAAGTCACAGCTCTACGTTCGCATTAGCACAATCTAATATTTTAGTCCTATATTTAGCTTTAAAGCTCGTTGATAATGTATTTCATCACGATCACTTATCATTGGGGGCGGTCGGGTAGTCTAGTGGTTAAAGCGTTCGCTCGTCACGCCGAAGACCTGGGTTCGATTCCCGACATGGGTACAAGGTGTGAAGCCCATTTCTGGTGTCCACCGCCGTGATATTGCTGGAATATTGCTAAAAGCGGCGTAAAACCATACTCACTCACTCACTCACTAATATCATTGTCTAATACTCATGTTTCTTTCTCATGTTAGGTACTGAAGGAAGGCAACTGCAAACCAAGGCAACAGTGAGTTGTATGATTATTACCTAATAAGTAGAATACCCATTGATCTGTTTCATTTTGAAAACACGATAAGCATAGTGTCAAGAATTGGTAAATAAGTTTTAAACAGAATCAAATCGATGTGTGAAAGTAACACTTTGACTAGACTTTCCAAGAAAGATGCGAAGCTGTGCGTTCATTCATTACATTGTCTTATTTCAGCCTACCGATCGGATATAAGTTAAAGAGGTCCTTCTAATTGTATGCATAAGTCGACTGCAAAGAAAGCAGAAAGGAAGGTTTTAGGGGTATTCCGTATTTCAATGACAATCTGACCAGGATTGTAACACGCACATGCACACGCACGCACACACAGACACAGACACACACACGTGAGGTGCCATATCGTATGCATATATTCAACAGCTGTTGACTTACGAATGCCTAAGAATAATGTGTAGTGAGTGACCTTGTGTGTGGATTCAAAACACGTGTGGTATTATCAGAAAAAGAAATGATGTGGTTATACCAGAATCAATTTTTAAACAAAGCCAGTCTCATTCACAAAGAAAAATTATTTAGGAATACGATTTATTGATGTGAAAAACAAAACTTTAACCCATATCCTTAAAGATAGTCTTGCAACATTGTGCAACTACACCCTTTCTATAATCATAGCACAATTCCGACTACACCATGAACATGTGTTAATGAGTCACTATCAAACAATGATGATACCGTTGGCACCCGTCACAAGCACCTCCATAAAACCTAGAACCCAGCCTGAAACTAACTACTGCAATCAGTTCTTTTAAAACTATATATCACTCTTCTGTGTAATGTTCCATTCCATATGTATTTTCAGCCCACCTACAGACCAAATTGTCATCTGACTAAAGGGGAGCCGCTCAGCATAGTTCTTGTTGGCAAAACGGGTAATGGAAAAAGTGCAACAGGAAATACTATTTTCGGGAAAAATCAACTTTTCAAGTCTTCTCCTGGATCAAAATCTCTGACAAAGAAGTGCCAACTTGAACACGGACTTATAGCAGGACGAGAAATATACCTGGTTGATACACCTGGTAATATGGATACGAGACATCCGAAAGAATGCTTGCAGGAGATAGGATCTGCTATTTACCTGTGTCCGGATGGGTATGATGCTGTTCTACTCATTCTCAAATTTGGTAACCGTATGACAGAGGAAGAAAGAAAAGCTGTCCGTGAAATACGGAAGCTCTTTGGACAGGACATATTCTCCAAACATGTTGTGATCGTGTTCACATATGGAGATAATTATGACAGCGAAGAACCATTTGAAGATTTCATTTTCGAAGATGCTGAAGACTTCTTAAAGAATCTTATCACTGAGTGCAAACATCGGGTTGTACTTTTCAACAACAAATTCAAATACTTGGAGGCTGAAGAGGAATCTTTCCATCAGGTATCAAAACTAATGGAAATCATTGACTATCTCAGGAGATGCAACAATGGTAGGAAGTACAATAACGATTTTTTTAAAGATGCAAAAGAGTTGCATATGGGAATAGAGGAGACTGACAAGTCACTGCGCAAGCAGCTGTGTATAGAACAAGCAGAGCTTGACAAACAGTTACAGACTGATCAAAAAGACAAACTGCAGAAAGAAAAGGCTGAGAGCTTAAGTAGAATGAGAGAGATAAAAGAGCAACAGTTGTTAAAGGCTGAACACTTTGGGAGAAAGTTGAATGATATCGTGACGAAAGAAAGAAATGAATCTGAAACAAAGTTGAGGGAGTCATTATCGATACACATGGAACAATGGCAAAAGGTTTGGGTCCAAGAAGTTGAAAACATTTGTGAAAACAACGAAAAACAGTTCTCTGCATCATTGGAGAAGGACCAGGAACTGAAATTAGAACTGAATACAGACGATGACATGAGAACTTCAGAGAGTGACCTTGCAGAAATATTTGAATCTGATGCTGAGAATGATGGAAGTTTGAAAGAATGTTGGAATGAGTTCAGGGAGAAACTAAATGAAAAGAAGAAATCCAACATAATGATATGGGAGAATAAGGTATCCGAGGTGCTTGGCAAAAGGATTAAAAGTCTTAGGGGTTTCACAAAGAATACAGTTTCAGAATTTGAGAACGAGTGGTTAAAGGAAATGGAAGAGAGAAGAGCTGAACATCTTTCAACCAGTGACAAGGTCATTTCTGAACTGAAAGAAGTTGCCATACAGAAGGTGAAGGAAATGTTTGAGGCTAAAACACATCTGGATAACTGGAGGGACGAAATGGACACTGTCCAGGACAGCGAGGAGCTTCTATGGAGAAACAGCATTACTGATATTCTTTCTGAAAGAAAAAGGCAATTTGAAGAAATGATCCATAAAATAAGACAACAGAATGAGGAAGATTGGCAGAAGAAGCTTGATGCTAAATGGAATGAAAAATATGAAGAAACACACCAATCACTGGTTCTCGAGAAATCCTACCGAGAAAGGAAGTGGAAGCTTGACACCCAAAAAGAAATTGGATCACATGTTACTGAGATACAGGCTAAGTTCAAGAAAGAAGAGAAGATAAGACAGATTGATGACATCATGAAACATGCCGAAAAAGAAATTTTGAATCATGGGACGTTTCTACTTCAGAGACTGTCAGAAACATTGACAAGAAGAGGCGCCACCAGTCAAGAAACATGGGATGAGAACATCGCAAACCTGACGCATCTTTTGATGAATGTGATGAATGGGGATGGATGGCAGCGGTCAATGATGCAGAACATTGAGGAACAAAGACATACATCTATGAACAGATGGAGAAATACAACAAGGACCACTGTTGAAAGTCAGGCGAGAGATTTCAAACATCGTTTAAATAAAATTTACCTCGTCGCAAACGAAAAGTGGACACAAACATTGAAAGAAACGATGATGAAACAAAGTCATTCTTGGGAACAAAAACTGCACCAGTTAAGTCAAGGATATGCCGAAGTTGTGGAAAAACAGATTGATGAAACACTCAAAAAGAAAATTTCAAAGCGGAACACTTTGCTACATGACTGGACTGATTTTGAAGAGAAATGGAGTTCTAAAGTAGAAAATATCAGGTATAAATTTGAACTAAAGTGGAAAGAAATGATAAAGCCACTTTCCAGAAATGTTGATTTTAGGATCTGCGAGGAAGATATCATCAGAGTGAAACAGACTTTTGAGGAGACGATGTACATCAAGCGAAACGACCAAGAACATGCATGGCTGACAGAAGAACAAAAGCTGTTTGAGAGCATGACAGACAACTTTAGGAGGAATCTGTCACACAAACATTGCTCTCAGGAGGAGCAAAACAATAAACACATGGATGCTGAAGTTCTCAAGCACACAATAGCCTTTAGAAGAGAGATGGATATATATGTTGATGACGTATACAAATACTGGCAAGACGTATTTGATGATGGAATGAAGAGGAAACTCAGGGACATTAGAGGTGTAGTTGGGAGGCACCAGGCAGCCAACATGCAGTCATGGAAAGAGGAAGCTCAAAGGGAAATCCTTGACATTATATCCAAGTGGAATCAGGAAATGACGGATATACTAACACACAGGGAAAATGAGTGGAATAGGCCCATGAAACAGCTGAGGTTAGAGAAGGAATGGCAACTGATGATAGAGCTCAGGACCTTGCAAGCCATCTTCAGAAGAGAGATGGAAACTATCACCCGGGAAGAGCTGATGGCATCACACCAGCAAGTTAATCAAATTCTTAAAACAAAACGCCACAGGTTGGAGGTGAATTGGAATGAGGATAATATAATGGCTCTCAATTTGATGATGACGAATGCTCTTGACAGAGCCAAGTTCGCTTCAGAGGAGATGATGCAAGAGACTATGAATGAAATTATTCATCAGAGAAAACTTGAAGAACAGGGATGTGAACTGATGATAAAATCTGAACGGCTGATCAGTCAAAAGAAGCAGCTAGACGAGGCATGTCTTGTACATTTTGGCAAAAAGTTTGCAGAAATGAATGCTTGCTTCCCGGTCGAGTCCTTGGTACAATTATTCACAGGACAAATTGTTTCCTTATCAGAAGTCAACATAGGTGACAAACTCCTTTGCTATGATGGAAATGGCATGCCTGTGTACAGCCCTGTGTATCGGTTTGGCCACAGACAGCAATACGGACACAACACGTTTATGGAGATATCCACAAAATCAAGGATATTGAAGGTTTCTCCAAATCACCATGTCCACATTGGAAAATCTGTCTGCAGGAAAAGCACTAAAGCTGCAATAGCTTTAGAAGCTGGTGAAACTGCTCTAGTGTTAGGGGAGGACGGCATTCTGGTACCAGAGGAGGTTCTTTCTGTCAGTTTGACAAGCGGAAGAGGTCTATATGCCCCCTATACACTGTGTGGTACCCTAGTGGTGGATGGTGTGCTTGCTTCCTGCTATGTGGATCGTGTTACACCTCTTCTAGCACATTGGCTACTGGCACCTGTTAGAGTTTGGTACAGACTGTTTACTCTAGGTGCTTCTAATATTGCAACGAAGAAGAGTCCTGAAAATATTCCATTCCTGAAAGTGCTTGGACCCCGAGAGGTCTCTGTTCCATTGGAGAAGAGAGAATTTTCTGAAAAAAGAAAGGTGAATAAGATCTTCTAGGTAGATGAGTTTTTCACCTGAAATATTTATGTTTCTTTAATGAAATAAAGTGTTTTGTATGAATTTTTTTTATGACGATAATTTTCTGAAAATTTTATGATATAATTTTATGAAATAATATGTTTAGTATGAACTTCTTTTACTTTTAGGACTAATCGCATAAATATATGTTCTGTACTTGGATGGCTTTCCGAAATTATGCTTCAGTAGGAAAGGAAAATAACTAAATGCTTTGTACCATTGCATGTGTGCTCTTTTGAAACCTTTACCCAAATAGAACATTTAACATTAATATTGCCTTGCAGTGTATCTGTGGTACGCACAATGTTGCTTTATTCTTTAAAGACATTCAATAACATAAAAAAAGATATTAGTTTGAATTGTCAATAAGACTTTGATTTTCCTTATTGTTTATATTCCAGATGCCTAATGATAGCAAGTCCTCTTGACGTCTTGGAAGGTTCGGAGGGCTAAACTAATCTGTGTTCTTGCCAGCATGTGAAATCCGTTTGTATTAAAATTGACTCTGACAATCTCTCAAATGACACAAAACTGTGTCTAAGGTACGATTGTATTCCATTTCATGTGATCTCGTTGGTTTGATGGCAGTTGTATTGTTGTTATTACAATTTTAAGGGGTTGTTATTTGTTTTAGTATTAGTATAAAAAGTATTACTTTGTTAGTATTTTGCGCACCTAAAGTGTCGATATTCCCCGGTGTACACTAACACGGCAGCCAACAGATTACCAGCCAACAATGTTTAATGTGTCCGGTCAGGATTGTCTTGTCTTATTTTAATTTATATGAAGATAAACCTTTTACAACTATATTACGTAAGTTTACTTCAGGAAGTCCAACACTTTTAAAAGTATATTTCGAACGCTGATAGCTGTCATGCAGTATATGCAGTTTCTTCATCAGCTTCACTGTATCAGTAAAACTGAGGCTTCTTATTTTACTCAAATACACATTTCACAGTACAGTTCAATTGTGGGGCGTAATATCTGGAGTCTGCAATCATTTTCGTTTTAATAATTTTGAATATGACATAACCTGTGAATGCACGTCAGTATTGTATTTCTCGAAACATGCATCTACATGTAGACCTGTTCAGTTGAAATAAACCATACCCAGTGTTCTTCTGTTGTGTATTGTCAGTATTCACTCTTTGAAGGGGCGGAGTTGCGTCCCTAAGGCGTTCTACGACTACCAGATTCGACCTGATTACGATTCTTTGTTTGATAGCTCTTTGTCCGTGCTCTGAAGTGGTAAACTCCAAGGCATTCATCGCTTTAATGATAACCCTGATAAATCGGAAATACTATTTAATGTGGCTTTAACGTCAACTTGCATACTCACTCACTCATAACTTTGGTGTAAACAACAAATTTGACCCTAAATTTGGTCTAACCTGTACTGCATAAAAAATGATAATCAAATTTTATCAGGGGTAAGTTCTTATTAAATAATCATAACGCATAAACTATGTGTGTGTCTTTCAATGTGAAACTAGGCTGTGAAAATAGCAAGTCGGTTTTTTAAAGGTATTTAAACCACGCACACGGGTATGGCAAACTTTTGATCGTTTATAAGGACGAAGCAGAAACTTCGTTTGGAGGATTCTATCAGTAAAAGGACATGACCCATGGCCAACAATATTTCAGTTTTTGGTATCTTTACATTACGTCTGCATATGTGGAGGAAATTCCAGAGTTATCAATTGAAATCTTAAAGATAGGTTACAGACTTAGGATCATAATAGGGAAAGTATACACAAGGATCCTAATTGGGAATATATAGGTTACAGACCAAGGATCCTGATTGGGAATATATAGGTCTAGACCAAGGATCCTAATTGGGAATATATAGGTTACAGACCAAGGATCCTAATTGGGAATATATAGGTCTAGACCAAGGATCCTAATTGTGAATATATAGGTTACAGACCAAGGATCCTAATTGGGAATATATAGGTCTAGACCAAGGATCCTTATTGGGAATATATAGGTTACAGACCAAGGATCCTAATTGGGAATATATAGGTTACAGACCAAGGATCCTAATTGGGAATATATAGGTCTAGACCAAGGATCCTAATTGTGAATATATAGGTTACAGACCAAGGATCCTAATTGGGAATATATAGGTTACAGACCAAGGATCCTAATTGGGAATATATAGGTCTAGACCAAGGATCCTAATTGTGAATATATAGGTTACAGACCAAGGATCCTAATTGGGAATATATAGGTTACAGACCAAGGATCCTAATTGGGAATATATAGGTCTAGACCAAGGATCCTAATTGTGAATATATAGGTTACAGACCAAGGATCCTAATTGGGAATATATAGGTCTAGACCAAGGATCCTAATTTGGAAAGTATGAGTTACAGACCAAGGATCCTAATTGGGAAATCATAGGTTACAGACTAAGGATCCTAACTGGGAAAATATAGGTTACAGACCAAGGATCATAATCGGAAAAATATATGTTGTAGACCAAGGATCCAAGGACATGACCCATAGCCAACATTATTTCAGTTTTTGGTATCTTTACATTACGTCTGTATATGTGGAGGAAATCCCAGAGTTATCAATTGAAATCTTAAAGATAGGTTACAGACTTAGGATCATAATAGGGAAAATATACACAAGGATCCTAATTGGGAATATAAAGGGTAACAGACCAAGGATCCTGATTGGGAATATATAGGTCTAGACCAAGGATCCTAATTTGGAATATATAGGTCTAGACCAAGGATCCTAATTGGGAATATATAGGTTACAGACCAAGGATCCTAATTGGGAAAATATGAGTAACAGACCAAGGATCCTAATTGGGAAAGTATAGGTTACAGACTAAGGATCCTAACTGGGAAAATATAGGTTACAGACCAAGGATCCTAATTGGGAATATATAGGTTACAGACCAAGGTTCCTAAATGGGAATATGCTGGTTACAGACCAAGAATCCAAAGACATGACCCATGGCCAACATTATTTCAGTTTTTTGTTTCTTTACATTACGTCTGTATATGTGGAGGAAATCCCAGATTTATCAATTGAAATCTTAAAGATCGGTTACAGACCAAGGATCATAATCGGGAAAATGTACACAATGATCTTAACTGGGAATATATAGGTTATAGACCAAGGATCCTAAATGGGAATATATAGGATAAAGACCAAGGATCCTAAGTGGGAAAGTATAGGTTACAGACTAAGGATCCTAAATGGGAATATATAGATTACAGACCAAGGATCCTAATCAGAAAAAATATATGTTGTAGACCAAGGATCCTAATTGGGAATATATAGGTTACAGACCAAAGATCCTCATGGGGAAAATATGCGTTACAGACCAGAGATCCTAAACGGGAAAATATGGGAATAGAACTAACGAATAGCGGGTCCAGGTATATTCAAAGGACGCAATTCTACAGCACTAAACTCAAAACACTTTTCAAATCAAGCCACAAAGACAAAATAAATTTTAGTCCCGAGTATGTGGATGCGTTAAACAGTTGTAAGATACGTCCTGTATAACTCTGACAAACAAAATATGATGACGTTATGAATTCACTTTTCAACAGGAAACAGTCAAATCAATTTAACAGTTAATCATGAATAATTCGTTTGTCTTTATATCCAGCTAGATCTCCAGGGAGCCGTATTTTAAGTACACTTAATTAAATCTTGCTTTCTACTTTCCAAGGGAGGGAACATTTCAGGGCACCTTAGGTTTTGCGGCTTTTCTCAGTGTATCCATATCCTCAGCCACATTTGCAAATACAATAATATCATATGGCAGTGTTTTTATTGTCAAATAATGACCGGTAGAAATTCATTGCATTGTGTTTGGACAATAGTTAGTTGTCAGAACTGTAGTACTCTTTATTGTAAGCAGTGATGAGGAAGTTACTATATTAAGATGCTAGTGTGATGTGTAAACTTCCTGAATACCGTGGACTGAGAGAGAGCATCACAGAAACATGTGGAATATTATGCGATGTGATGGCACTGTGTGGACTTTTTTCAGAAGCTAGTTAGACTCTAACTAAGGGGACAAGAGCGTGCCTCCTGTATCTCTCACCCATCATATCTCACCTTCATTACATCAAAACGAGCCTTCATGTGAAGATCAACCATCACCCTGATTCCCTGCCAAGGCCCATCTCGGAAACTTCACCACTGTCGCCGTTGGGTGAAAATGATATCACTGACTTTTGCTATCACCACCGTATTTTTGTATTTGGTACTGACCACTGTCATCATATTATATACTCTTATTGAATATTTACTACCACTTTATTGTGTACAGCCATTGTAACATGTTGTTTCAATTTGGGAATCCTCACGCAACACATTGTACCCGTGTCGGGATTCGAAACCGGGTGCAAATACTTATGGGTAATCGTCCGTGGCACTCTCTTTCTACGTGTACTTAAGCAGTTGTGAGACTAACATGACGTCACTCTGGAATGCTACGCCGTCATGACACAGTGGATGACGTCACATGCTCCCATGACAACTGAACCAACCATGAATAAGGAAATTTTGATTCCAAATTATGACATTTTACTGACTTGTGGCCGAATGACGGCTCTGAGATAGGTAACCTGAATGAGTTACGCAACGACAGGAGAGACTACGGTATGGAACATGAAAATAACAATGTGTCAGCCAATAAAATAGTAAATCATGAATGTCATTACGTACACGAGATATTAAACAAGAAACCTTTTTTACAACATACGTGTAACGCATATTATAGTTTCAAGAGACACATAATGTACAGTCGTGGAGATACTATTTTATTACATAAGATAATCATTACATTATAAACCTGCCAAAAGCAGAGTCGATTGTCACGCCATTTATGATTCACTAAATGTACACAATCATACACAAATAGTCGGATATCCAAGTAAATAGCTAAATGTACAACCTACAATCATCCGTGTCACAAATGCCGTCTATTTTGAAAAATAGTAATGAATAAAACATGGTACTCTCAGATATGCCATGGACAGTCTGTTGACAGCTTTGGTTAACAGGGATTACGCAGTCACTCTCTTATTCATCTACTAATTAGCATGTTAAGCGCATTTCCATAACTATGCATTAGCACAGTTACTCATGTTACATGAGGATTGCCTGTTATCATTGATTATTCTGATTGTGAACAACATACATTAATAAATGGTTTCACAAATACCCGGCGAGGTAATGGTTCGATATATACATGTATTCATTATGCTACATATACATGTGGTAGATACTAGTATTTACATAACTTTCTTCAGAACGCAGAACTGATAACAAACGAACAGTTTAATGGAGAGAATTGTCACAAAGTACTCCATAGGGCAAACTACAATCATATCATTATACAGGATATATTTATCATCTATAATTGTCTAAAAGACATGTTCTATTTATAAACATGTCCAATCACTAATTAATGATAAAACTTCCGTCGGCACCAAACCTCAGAGAATCCAACTTTCTATTGGCATCCGTATGGACAGCCTGACAGCTATATATGGAGGGATCCTTGGGAAGTCAGTATTCTACAACCAGAGCACGTTGGACACTAACTAAAGCGTTATGTTTCGAAAAATCCCCTGTTCAATTGTACATGAAAATGTAAGAGGTAAATGAGCAATTATTTGCTCAGTTAACTTCTCCTCAGATTCCATGTCACATTTCGTCCCCATCACATATTCCAGTTCGGTTTGGAATAGTGTAGCCTTTGATGCGACACCCTTATCCTCATAACGGAACTTCACGTAGCATGCTTGCAGTCTTTGAGCATCAGTGTACGTCTCATGGCAAGTTGGACATTGGGAGTCCAGAAGCTTCTTCTTTTTGCACCCTGGATATCAAAGAAAACAAATATGTTATTCTCATCAACTCTACTGTAGTGTATTTAACTTTAGTGATAACTTGTCGGCATTTTCATACTAAATATCATCATGGTAAATTCAAAACGTCTACGCCACAGAGTCATCAGTCTCGATTACAACAAAAACAGCTTCCACTGTGCGCAAAAGGAAAAACATTTGATGAAAATTGCTAGTATATGCATTGATCACTGAAAATCAGCGATGACACCAGGTGTTCGCGAAAATGGTAAGCATGTCCTGCTCTACTGGCAGCATCCGTCACTCAAATGTTTCATAGTGTTCCTTTGTTGGCTAATTCCACGCCTATCAATACTACCATGCGAAGGCGGCCTTTAAACAAGACAGACCAGGCAATCTAGTGATTGATTTCATGAGCAATGATCCACGTCTTCAGGGTACGATGCCACGCTGTCACCAATTCTTACCACCCATTTACCCTATGAATGTTTCTAATTTTGTAATAAAAAAGTAAAACTTGTTTTTTTCGGAACATGATAAACGGTTGTCAATGTCTTATGCTCGAGTGATGTCTGTATTGTTGACACCAGGAACTTTTGATGATTTAATAAAATATGCTGTATTCAAGACCAAAGTACACTTAGCTGAATATAAGCGACGGGACCATTTCAATAATCATTAGTTTGTTTGTTTGCTGTTTAACGCCACACTCAGCAATATTCCAGCTATATGACGGCGGTCTGTAAATAATCGAGTCTGGACCAGACTATCCAGTGATTGACATCATGATTGGTTGGTTGGTTTGTTGTTTAACGCCGCACTCAGCAATATTCCGGCTATATGACGGCGGTCTGTAAATAATCGAGTCTGGACCAGACTATCCAGTGATTGACATCATGAGCATCGATCCACGCAATTGGGATACGATGACATACATGAACCATGTCAGCGAGCCTGACCACCCGATCCCGTTAGTCGCCTCTTACGACAAGCATGGAGACTTTTTACGGCAAGCATGGGTTGCTGAAGACCTATTCTACATCGGATCATCACGGGTCTGTGTCTGGATTCACGAGGTTTAATATACTGCATTCACGACCAAAGTAAACTTAGCTGAATATAAGCGACGGTACCCTTTCCATATTCATAAGACATCCATGGTTCGTTATAAACGTAGTTTACTGTACACCCAATAGTAGATCTTTGATGGATTGGTATCTAAACATATCCTTGTTCTTCTATTGTAAGAAGAAAGTCTCAAATCAACCATGGACTGACTTTGTTGTTTACAGCAGTTGTATATGGAAGCAATGAGGAATTCCTCCAGTTCCACCTCAATTGTTGCCAGCGACTTGAAGTCTGGATCATCAACAAACTTGTCGCTCTCAGTCACTGTTATATCAGATGCATCGGGAATAACCTGCAAAAATGTATCAATACTCATCACATAAGAAGGAATAAACAGTTTATAAACGATAATAAGACAGTATCCCATATCAATACACTGTTTCACAGTGCTCTCGAAAAGCTGACTTCAGTGGAGGGTCTTTAAATCCGTTGTATTGTACGTTTTCTTGTATCCCTATGATATGCCTACTCTAGGTCTCATCAGTTTTGAGCGCCAATCTCTTATCTATGTCATATTGTATCATATCACTGATTACAAAACTTCAACCCCAGATACTAATCAGTCTCGATTATCGAGAGAGATTCCATTGGGCGTAAAAGGCGAAACATTCGGAAATGTAGGTATCAAGAAAAGGATAAATAAACACAGGGATTTAAGGATATCAACTAGTGTGAATAAATAACCCAATAGATTGCATGGCACCTTCCAATGTTATTCTATTACCTGACATTTTGTGTCAGTTGTGGATTTCAGCTGATCCCGACCGTTGTAGATTGATGCATAAACTGCAGTGATTTGTAGAGTTTGGTTTGTGATGAACTCCACTTCAGCATTGTCACCGAAGAGAGTCACCTTAGCAACTGTTCCTTCGTGATCCTTTAATGCTAGTCTGCGTTTGAGAAGCGATACCTGATCGAAACACCATACATGTAAACTATTAGTTCATATAGAATACATGTTAACATTATTCGGACACATCACGGGGATTTGTCTTGTAAAATACACTTAATTTAATTATTGTTGTTTGTTTGTTGTTTAACACCGCACTCAGCAATATTCCAACTTTATGATGGCGGTCTGCACATAATCGAAACTGGACCTGACATTCCAGTGATAGATATCATGAGCATCGATCTATGCAATTGGGATACGATGACATGCATGAACCAAGTCAGCGAGCCTGACCACCCGCTCCTGTTAGTTACCTCTGACGACACGCATAGTCACCTTTTACGACAATCATGGGTTGCCGAATACCTATTCTACCACGGACCTCCATGGGTCTTAAAATGCAGCACAATGTTGAACACATTTTCATGGTTATACTGCACTGTATCATTTTGGTGTTATGAAGACACCATACTAGAAGACCAACCTGTAGGTCCCGTGACCAAATCATGGAAACAAAGGTTTGAAAGTGTTTTTGAGTTTCCTGATGTATACTGAACAATTTTGACTTGGGCTGCCCGGCTGAAAATCCTGGGCATTTTGGGGAAAGGTCAACAAAGGTCACACAGGGGTCTAAATCCAAAATTGTGTCGATATGCATATCAAATTACTCGTCCAGTCATAAGAAACCTAGAAATATATAGTTTGTTATACTTCCGACCTTAAATGGGGGAGCTATGGCCAAAAACGTTGAAAGGTCAACGCACTTTTGGCAGTCGGTGAAATTCACAAACACAGTTAACATTGTCCGATAGTCATGATTTTAGTGTCCAATAATATATTTTCTGACATGACAAATTCAACCAAGCAACTTTTAAAAGTAAAAAGGGTTACCTTGACCTTGAAAATCGAAAATGGTTGGATGCATGAAGAATTGTAATGCTTCAGCAAAGTCACAGGGTCCTTGGCCAATAACGCAGCATATTTCAGAATCCATTGTTCAGTAATGCTTTTCTAACCTTACTGTAGTGCACAGTTCATCATCCTACTCTGTGTCATACCGATCAGATGCAGAGTCGGAATCACTGTCACAATCACTTGAATCTAGAATCTGTGTCCGATTCTACAGAGCAGTTTGCTCTGGCATCACTCAGATGTTGAGGCAGTGCTGGCTGTGAATACCGTATTGGCAAGTAAGCATTTCTGGACAATGGATTCTGAAATATGCTGCTTTATTGGCCAAGGATCCTGTTTCCAATGACTTTGCTGAAGCATGGCAACCCTTTTCGATTTTCAAGGTCAAGGTAACCCTTTTTACTTTTAAAAGTTGCTTGGTTGAATTTGTCATGTCAGAAAATATATTATTGGACACTAAAATCATGACTATCGGACAATGTTTACTGTGTTTGTGAATTTCACCGACTGCCAAAAGTGCGTTGACCTTTCAACGTTTTTGGCCATAGCTCCCCCATTTAAGGTCGGAACTATAACAAACTAATATTTCTAGGTTCCTTATGACTGGACGAGTAATTTGATATGCATATCGACACAATTTTGAATTTTGACCCCTGTTTGACCTTTGTTGACCCTTCCCCAAAATGCCCGGGATTTTCAACCGGGCAGCCCAAGTCAAAATTGTTCAGTATACATCAGGAAACTCAAAAACACTTTCAACCCTTTGTTTCCATGATTTGGTCACGGGACCTACAGGTTGGTCCTTGACTACCAATTCGACCATACTGATATGCACCAGTTTACCCTTCAGAGTGACACAAACTGTATCCTCACCTGAACGATCTTTCCTTCAACGATTGAAGGGTCCTCCGTTTGCAAAGCTTGTTTTAAAGTTTTACACACACCGTCGCCAGATCGTGCATCTTCTGGAAGTTGAGGTGCATTCTCTTCTATTTCCTCTGGCACACTGATATGTTTTGTGACAGTTATATCATCAGCCTTGGTGACTGAATAGTATTTCTTTTTTCTATCGGGCCTACGGAGTTTGTAGGTCTTACCAATGTATATTGATTGTAGTTTCTTTGGTACATAAATCCTCACTATGACCGAGCCATCTTCTGTTGCTCCAACGACGTTGAAGTATTCATAGGTTTCCTTATCCAACAACATTGTTTGAATGTCCTTAGATTTCTTGAGGACTTTTACAAGCAAGGGTGTAGGCTGTAAGAAAACAAAGAGGAATGTGTGCAGGCATATACATGTATAGCATGTTTTGGGCGAACACCTGATCGCTGAGCTGTATCGACATGCCACTCTAACCCTGGTACATGTTCAAGTCTGTCATCCCCATTTGACAATTTACTTGTTAGTTGTTGTGAGTGTGCAGGGCCAACATAAGTGGATATATAATTCTTGTTAAACTGTTGAATGGAATAGTTAGGTAATTGATAAGCGTGGTTAGAAGGTAGTAGCTATACAAAACTGTCATCCTTCATATGTAAGTTGTCAATACCCTCTATACCATGTACGTCAGAGAACAATCAGCTGAAACAGATTCCATTGGCGTAAAGGGCCAAATAGCAGTGAAAATTAGATGAAAATCACTGAAAATCCGTGATGACACCAGGTGTTTGCAAAAACGGTAAGCAGATCCTGCCCAAGCGAGATTCCTTCCCGATGCACTTACACTTACGTCAGTTTTGCGGTTTTTTCCAGAAGTCTCTTGTCTTTCAGAACTGGCATTGGATCCTGCTGGACAAAATGTGTAAGTTAGTATAGGTATGCCATGAGGTCCCATGTGAAGAAATAGCGGCTGTAACAACTATTAGATAATCTAACCCGAGTGTCTCTTGATATCACATATATCTATCAGAAAAATGTTGAATATATTTGATATCAAGAGACCAGGAGGGTGCGTTTCTTGTTCTCATTCAAATAATTCGTTCATGTTTTTCAGTAATAACCGATGTGTGGTGTGTACAAAATTACAGCTAACTGGAATTTACTGTGTATTTTTTTGTAAAAAAAATATGTAAGAAACGTACTTTACCATCCTGGTATCCAAAGTAAGAATGTCTGTTGCGACAAAATATTACACACGATGCGTCAAACGCCAAATGACACACCTCAGTCAGTACAGTTCTTCCAATACTGATTGCTAGGACTTACCGCTTGTTTGCTTTCTTTTCTGAGCACCTGCATCACAAGGACGTCCTTCTCTTTCACCAGCTAATAAATAACACTGTTTATGCTGCTGCATTATTGTCAAATAGAGGTTTATTCTACACCATAGCAACAATGATGTTGGCCATCAGAAACTGCTTACATCAGGAGTATTTGCCAAGGTATAAGTATTGTCTAGAATGTGTGTCTCCCTACTCAGGACAATATAATGTAGATTAGATCTCTACATACTGTTGGTCAGAAAGACAGGTTACATTGGTAGATTATTGACACAGGCCTAGGCTGAGACAAGTATAGATGACACATTAATTTATGAAAATCGTTTCTTATATGAGTTCTCATTTACATGGTGCATAGGTTAGGTCAACAATTGGCTTATAATACAGTCAAATTGTACAATGTCTTTTTATGACAATGGAAAGAAATTTCAAATAATCAAACCGGGAATTATACATTAGACTATTCAAGTCAAATAATTACTCACGGGAAATGTGTTCCTGAATCACAGTGTCGACACTTCCAGAATCGTCAATTCCCTTTCCGGCTTCAATTTCCAAATACAATAGGTAAATGTTATTACACAGATATCAGTACTTTATACATACATGTACCTAATGAAAATATGAGATTTATAACAGAATAGGGGGTATACAAACTCCCAATCGTTATAAACTCTAACACAAAATATTGATGCATATCAGGGTGCACGAGTGCTCATTCGTCTAATACGCCTCTACCTGATATGCAGGGTTACGTCCAGAGTGTCAGACTCCTATGATCCTGGGTTCGAATCCCATTATGATGATTTTAGGTTTAACAGCAACATCCTCGTCCTGTTACATTAAAGTGACACGTAGTGACACACGTCACATACTTTTCAAATTACATTTCTTTTGCCGCAATTGATGTTATCACTGTCGGAACTTACTTTTATCGTTGATATTTATACTAACGATGGGGCAGTTGATGTTGGTGATGTGTGGTGACGATTGGGACGAGTAGTTCTGTCAAGGAAAACACCCGAAAGACTATTGGTCATCACGTATCAGTTGCTGAACATAATTCAAAGTATACAGCAATACTGAAACTTAAGCAATAGACAAACAATATAGTAATTAGGTGATCGTGTCAAATACCATTTATCTACGGAACCATCGGATGGATACCATGATCAATACATCGAGGCTATGTAGAGACTATTGAGTTTTAAGTTGCGTCATATATAGATTGTAAATAAACCCTATTTCATCTCGCCTTGCCTCGGTGAAGTGTTCATGCTTCCAGTTCACCCCTGGCTTCAGATGGCTTTGTACATATAAAGGCAAGGAAAGTGAAAAAAGTTTGCGGTTTTGTTGCGAATATCAAATCTCCTCGATACATTTAGTCCATTTCCATTACAGAAAAAAATCATAATATTTGCAAAAATTATTTAAAATTTCCAAGTGAAAGTGCTGAACCCACACGCTCCGTATTCGTTTCTTAAAATAAACCTATTTAGGGGCGTGGCCTAAAGTGCCTGCGCAGCGAAGACAACTGTTTTCACTGGCTGTTTTTATAGGTTTGCCGCGTTTGTCTATCTTGTGATTCTCAGCCATTATACATGTACAGTGTCTGCTATTTTTGTTAATCCTACAAAAATAACAACATTGCATACATTGTTCAATGTGTGAAACGACCTTTGATCTTGAAATTGTGAATAATAAAAATAACAATTAACAATCGGTAACTAGCGTGTAATTACTAATTTCCTGTCTGGGTAATAAAACACCAGCTGCCCTCCGCCCTATTTCACACAATAAATGCCTGTCTTCAGTGTTGTGACAAAGGTGTCATACGTTGTGGACACAGTAGTGAAATTGATGAGCAGACAGATAAAGACATGTAATAAACAATTCGAGGCAGAAGCAGGCATAAAATATGAATTTCGTCGTTGAAATTGCACAGCGTATCAAGAAGCGTGGCCCCGTTTTAACCTCCAAGGCGGGGATTACTCCTACTGCAGGAACTTTTTCTTTGGGGGGACGGTACGCGTGTTATGTTTTATCATCTTTATTTACGCTTTTTCCGATTTTCAAATATAATTTTGGTCAACCAATGTGATTAAGTATACTCTAAAGTATTACAATCTGCAAAGTTGCTATTTTGACTTTTATATATATATATGCTCTTCAAAAAAAGAAGCTTGACATAGATGTAAAACCACTTTTTGCCAAATATCTAAAATTATTACATTAAATGAGAACCAAATAAGTCAAACAGAAAGATTGATTGATTGATTGATTTTTTAGAAAGTTTTAAAGGTGTTCGGGCAACTAGGCCCATGTACACCTTGCCCATAATAAAGGTTTGCTAAGTACCTAGATAGTTCATAGAGTAGTGAAACTGCCACACGCTTTAGGTTAGGAGTTAAGAATGTCTCCTGAAGACAAAACATCTGGGTCAAAACTTAATACAAACTTTAAAACCTGGACCGTTAGCACTGAGTGATCTAGCATCAAGAGATCCATAAGAAGGATGGATTAAGACTTCCATTGTTGACCCTTAACCATGCTCGTCAGATCATCAGGGGACAATCTTAACCCCAAGAGGGACTGGGCAGCTGACGCTATCGTCTGAAGACCATCAGACTTGAATGCACGAGTAGTGCCAAGATTAGCAACTATACAAATAACAAAGTTGAGAAAGTCAACAGGAGAGACATTGTTAAATAGAGGTTTGCAAGATGATTCAGGCATGATGTCAACAACAGGATCAGTCTGACATTCAACTTCAAGAGTCTCAGTCTGAGTACTAGCAGTCACCATGACTGGAGAAGACACAACATCTAAAATTGTAACAACCTGAGACAGTGGTTTAGCTGCAGGAGGTGGTTTAGGGACTTCCGGAACCTGAGCGACATCAAAATCTCCACGCACCTGTCGAACAGCCTGAGAATAAGACAACTTACCCTCCACTCGGACTTTCTGAATCTGGACAGCTTCCTGGTATCTAATGCAACCTTTATATGCCGCAGAGTGTGCACCACCACAGTTCTTACATTTAAGGGAACTTTCATTGCACTCCTCGTATTTGTGCTTCCCTCCACATTTAGCGCACACATGATGAGTGCTTCTACACTTAGCAGAGACATGCCCAAAGGACTGACACTTGAAGCATCGAAGAGCAGGAGGAACATATATCCGGATTGGAAATCTCTGGAAGAAAATGACAACATGATCCGGTAAAGACTGGCCAGTAAATGTAAGAAGAACAGATTTGGTGGGAACTTTATCAGGCCCACGAGTCAGACGCACAGCAGAGCACATTAGAGGTAACACAGGTTTCAACTCGTCCTCAATTTCATTCATCTCAATATCCAGATCAATACCATAGATGACTCCACGTGTTCTCATTAAGGATTCAGGCTCATGAGGGGTGACAAAATGTTCATCAAGTTCTGTGACTTGCAAAAGTGTTTTGGCAGCCTCAACGGTTTTTGCAGTGACACTAACATCTCCCCTGGCCATCCGCTTAACACTGACTATTTCTGTAGTGATCTTAGCCAAGGCTCTAGCCAAAGCACGCTGTGTCATAAGTTGACAGAGGGTCGGTGAACCATCAGCATATTCATCTACATCGGCTTTGAAGATAACAGTGGTTGATTTGACCCGAGGTGGCTCATCAAAGACAAAAGTAAGATCAGACCTTGGAGTAGGAGGAACAGTATTTGGTTGCTTGGCAACACAGGCTTTTTTAGAAGTACCATCTGGAATACGGCCGATTCGCTTCCTCCCTGAAGCAACGACTTTAAATCCTTCCTCACATTCCATTCTGTTGTCAGCCATTGTCGAGGACAATCCCCAACAACTGACTGTAACAATCAGCAAACACCAAATAGAAATTAAAAGTTTGAATGCACTCCAACTCAAGAGAAATCAAAAGCCAAAGAACAAAAGAGGAAGTATCATAAACAGTCGAGTGCGCTGTATAACACTAGACAAGTTGCTGAGAAGCAAAAGACGTCCGAACTCGACGGCAGTCAAGACCGAACCAAACAGAAAGATGATGTGTCTATAATTCGCGAAAACACATGCCAAGCACATAAACGTAAATTTTACAGCTTCATCCAAACGCAACCGCCTGTGAAAAACGTGCAGCACAGGATCCTGCATTTAGGGATGCAGGCCCCCTGCTGAATGGGTATAAAAATCCACATCAACGGCTGTTCATACAGTCCTTATAACGGCAGTAGAGACGGTGACAGAATGCCAAGACTGAATACAGCTCAACGGAACAACGCCATTGGGAGATTACAAGCTGGAGCAACTCAGCAAGAAGTGGCCAGGCACTTTGGCGTATCCAGACAGACACTCTCCGCACTGTGGACCCGATACAACAACACCAACAGAGTTGACGACAGACCAAGGTCAGGAAGACCAAGGGTGACAACCCAAGCACACGATCGATACATCCGGCTGCGACACCTCCGAGACCGCACTACCACAGCCACGTCTACAACCACACAGATCCCTGGGGTACGCAGAATATCAGATCAAACGGTACGCAACAGATTGAGGGAGGCTGGACTTTTTGCACGAAGACCTGTTCGACGTCATGTATTTGACCGTCTGCTTTGGTTCCAACAGAGGGTTAGATGGGCACGTGCATGGTGGAGAAATGTACTGTTTACTGACGAGTCCCGTTTCCTACTCACACGTGCTCACGAGCATTCACGTGTCTACAGACGTCGGGGTGAACGTTACGCCCCCAACTGTGTGCAGCAGGTTTTCCCATTTGGCGGCGGGAGTGTCATGGTATGGGCCGGAATTCATCACGGTGGTAGGATGCCTCTCGTGCATGTGGCAGGTGCATTGACAGGTGTGCGTTACAGAGACTTGATCCTAGAGCCTAACGTTCTTCCTCACGTCAACGTTCACAGCGGACAGTTCCAGAGGTACAACGCTCGAACGCATATTACACGTGTTCGTCAGGACTTCTTACAGCACAACAACATCCAGACATTACCTTGGCCAGCCCGGTCACCAGATTTGTTTCCGATTGAGCATCTGTGGGTTGAGTTGCATCGACGCGTTCGCAGAAGGAATCCACCGCCCCAAACACTTCCGGCGCTTCTTGATGCACTTCAGCATGAATGGCAGCACATCCAACAGCGTGTTATTGACAACTTAATTGCATCTATGGCTCGTCGATGTCAAGCGGTGATTGATGCACGTGGTTGGCACAACCGAAACTGACATTTTCTGTACCCCTGTGACATTAACTGTATCGTGTACGTGTATCTGTCCAGGTGACACGATTAATGTTTAAAACATTATGTACATTTATCTTCAAACAGTGTTTCAATTATGGTTTCTGTGTCCTATTTTGAAACAATCGCATTATATTACATTTTGAAAGTCAGTGTCAAGTTTCTTTTTTTGAAGAGTATATTATGTATATGTATTGAAATACTCTTATCAGACTGATAACAGCTGTATGGAGCTGTATGTGTTTCATATATCCGTGTGTCTGGATGTCTTGTATGGGAACTGGATAAAATGAAGAAAATTGATTGGTATAATATAATATAATAAATATCAGCCTTGAGCTTGCAACGTCATCTAAGAGAGGTGGCTGAACAGTTCTGAGCATAACTATTATGAACTGTGTTGATGGATCTAACTATTTTACAACACCATCCCCCTGAGGTACACCCACTTCTGCCAATGATGCTGACGTGCCTGGATTCCACTGGTGTAGGTATTTACAGTGTTGTCACTAACCCTGTGCACTCAAAAGAACCAACTTGTTCGATAGTAGATGACCAGATGGTGGAAACACAAATACGTTCATACACCCTTTGTCCACCCAGCAGGGAATGGGTACCACATATATGAGGTGGCTGGAAAAACCTTCCAGGCAGCTTGGGTTGTGTACTCCCCAGGGAGTTGAGAATGATAACTGGAATGCAAACTGATCCACTGGTCGGGGAACAAATAAAACCGCATTTGAGCAGATACTACTACCTGGATACCTCTTACGGTATAATAATAATAATAATAATAGTGCCATATCAGCTCGGCCCAGTTTTTCAACGACCACTGCATCGAGTTTATGTGCAGGGTGTTGAGAAGGTAATGAACCCTGCAGAGTCCTTCACTTGGATAAGGTCGGCTGGTCTGAAAAGTGAAACAGAAGGCTTTCTGTTTGCTGCTCAGGACCAGTCACTTCTAACTCGAAACCGTCAATGTGTGATTTTGCATCAAAATGTAAATATGAAATGTAGATTATGTAATGATTTTAATGAGACTGTCAAACACATTGTCAGTGGATGCCCAACTTTGGGACAAACACAGTATCTTAAATGACATGATGGTGTAGATCGATCATTTTATTACCGTCTTCGCCATGCTTGTGGTTTTGACACAGAGGTCCACCCATGGTACGACCCAGAATATGTAGAGGGCGTCATTGAAAATGATAAATACAAAATTCTTTGGCATAGGCCCATTCACACTCTCAGACGTATCCAGGCCAACAAACCTGATCTTGTCCTTTTTGATAAATCAAATGAAATCATTTATATAATTGAATTTTTTGTCCCCTTTGACACTAATGTTATTGACAAGATTGAGGAAAATCATGGTAAATATGCGGACCTCGCTTTCGAAATGTCACTCTTGCGTCCCAAGTACCAAGTTGTCCGACTCCCCATTGTTCTCGCTGCCTTAGGTTTGGTACCTCTCAATCTGTTGACTGACATTTGAGGGAGTACCCGGGTTTGCTGACCTGATGATGAGCCTAACCAGCCCGACTGTACCAGGATCACCCAAACCCTCTTTGCTGCCTTTTTTATTTTAACCTCTAAATAATAATAATAGAAGGCTTCCTCCTGGTGGTGTGAAAAGCTGCCAGCAGCAGAAATGACCTCATTATCATTTGATGATCTAACCTTTCGAGAGGCGGACCGCAAGATGGATTTATTGGAAATTCCGGAAAGCCAAAGCCATCACCTTGATAGCAGATGGAGGAGGAGACGACAGGGGTTTCCACTGCTTTGACTGTTTTTTAGTCTCTGGCTGATAGTGATCAACCCATGGTTACAAATTCCTTCGCAAATGTAGCTGGGTCTGCTTGCTTCAGAACGACGTATATTCTCTGGAAAGGTAACGGACCTGTAGCGTTTCTGATCAGGAGCCCAGCGTGCTAAAATCTTTGTCATGCCCAGTTCAATCCTCAGCATGGTGTCAACGAGATATGCCTACTGTATTAGCTATGGCCAAAAGTACATGTGACGTGTGGTGAGTCGTCGATCAGTTATAATCATATTTATTTAAATCAACATTTTGCTAAGTGGTAGCAGTTGAAGATCTTCCTGAACTTGGATTGTCTTCAAGGCTCTCCCTTGAAATCATTAACTCCACTTTCCACTTCTTTAACAGTGGCAAAGGAAAGATCCTTATCCCTTACATTTGACACCATGTTTGCATGGATAATTGCCTTTCAGTTGGAGGTACAAGACGATTTGGGTATTTTAATCTAAAAGAGAATACCTAATCACTTATAAAAATATGCTGCCTGGTTGTGCATTTGGTTCAAAGGCAGCCTTCATGCTTGGAACGTACTGCATTTAACACATGCATACTGTCAGGGGTGTACTCAGAAATTTTCAGCCACCTCGTATATATCATATGCTTGAAATGATCGTTTCTAGACAAACTTACATTTTCACTCTCTGTATTTGCAGAGTTTTGAGAACATAGTTTTTGTCCTCCGTCGGGGACGCCTGCAATGAACAAGAAATTCGTTATTGCAAAGTTTGTCTGCCCTCTGGAAATCGTTGATAACGTAATTAATATTTCATGTTAACATTGTACTAACTTTGTATTTAGAGAAACAGATTCTAAAGAGAATACGTCTTTTGGTGACCGTTGTATACTACCAGTGGAAAAAGGACACATAGATTTGTATGGCGAGTCTAAGTTTTTTAAAATGCTTGATTACTCAATACAATACGACATGGTAATTATACCATTGGCACAACTATGGTCAGTTTCGGCATTGAACAAGTGTATCTTTGTGAACCATAATATCTGGTAGTTGTCATATACTGAACATTGCGGAAAGGAAGAACTTATTTTGCTCTGGATACAAGTGTGATATCTTTCATTCTAACCATAAAGTTTACCGAGAGATATATGTTCACATTCCTTACTGGCATATGTCAGAATCTAAAAGGTGGTAAAGGGGAGGTAATCCATGGAGGTATACTACTGTGTTGGACTCTCTGCTCAGATCAGTCTGATAGGTCATGTGGAGCAACACATCGCACAATCTGGCAGAAGCCGTATCCCTCGTCTAAAATGTGCTGGATTTTAAATTGTCTATATCATTTTCTTAACCACAAAACGTGTTAATTTTGAAATGCGGACGTCACACCATATAAACTATGTGTAGAGGGATGTGCAGTTGACAGTTAAATCATGAAATATAACTAGTCCATTGCTGCCCAGGGAAGTCTGCGAAATATCCGGAGTGGACCAGAATGTCGTCTTGTTTAAAATGAGGAAAATATGTTGAGCCATTGAATGGATTGGGAAATAGGTGTACGTTTAATAGGACTGCATTTTAAAGTAGTATATGTAGTAGTAAATATATTGATAACAGTTCACAACACATGAAATGATAGTTTGCAGAAGAAACAATTAGATGAGTAATTAATCAAGACTGACATGGACGTCGCCTTATGAATATGTACGTATAGAATGTTTACCTGTTTCATCAGTTGCGGCTGTTATCTCCATCCTTGAGTGGAGACCAAATTCATAAAATTATCTGTAAATGTAAAACCAGTGTCAGTGCTATACAAATGGAAATGGACAGAATGAGGTTACCTCACCATGTTCGTTCGAGGACGAATTCAAGAATGATTTTAATTAAAACGAAATCACAGTCAACCACTCACACAATATTCAATTGTAGGTCCCTAAACATAATGAGCGCATTTGAAGAAGAATAAAATATGTCAAAAATTCAGTCGTTAGAATTAATTTCTTTGGTTGAAAAGGTGTGCACTTCATTTGAACATGGCGTCCAAAGGCAGAAGCAACATTGTTGGGATTAAGGAAGACATGAATTTTTTAAATTATACTACAGGACAGAATTGATCTGATGTAGCATAGGTACGATTGATGGGCCGGGCCCATTTCAGGCTTTTGGATCCACCCGCTGTGTTTTAGTTACCTCAAAGTGAGTAATTTCAATTAACTCTATCCGCTGTTCATCAGCGAAAGTATGTGGACGATAATTTTTCTTCACCAAGACGGGCGAAACCAGGTGTGAAGTTGAAAACATTTTACGCAGCAATCCAGGAGTTTCCGCATTAAAACCTTCACGAATTATTTCCAAATCCTTTTTATGGATAGCAGCATGATGTGTTGTGTCGTCAAGACGACGAACGCGCGAACCTTGGACACAAGCCATCTCTGATTTGGAAGTCAGGGAAAAATTCCATCTGAACCGCCTTGATGATGATTTTACAAAATAGCAAACATACTGATGAGGCCAAACATTTAAGTGATGTTATGCTCATTCGAAATCGACAACAGCCATTCAGACTATAGAACATACCACATATAATATGATTATGTATAATATGACTACAACCTGTTGTGAAGATATTTCTGTTGTTACAAATCCTATTTCTTTGAGTTCAAGGCAATTCCAATTGCCTCCAGGAAACAGGCTTTGTATTTTTGTGTTGACAAATACGGGCAAACAGCTGAGATCTCTGTTTGTCATTTTGAGCCTCAGTACAATGTTATTTCGTGCATTAAAATAACTATCATCCTGTAGATTATAGGGAAAACCTTCACATGAGGTAATGTTTTACTAACTGGCTCAAACAGCGACTGCCATTCAGTGTAACAGCATATGATATTGCTGAGTGTTGGTTTAATCTCAATGTCAATGTTGATTTTGTTGATGGTTCTGTACTGCAGGACGGTTCAGAAATGAGTGTCAACAAAGCGACGTGCCAGATCAATTCGGCCCAGTTTTTCAAGGAGAGGTTATCTGAACGACCACTGCATCGAGTTAATGTGCAGTGTGTTTCCTGAAAACTGCCCTGAACTTGATCGCCTGTCATATCTGATATGGAATGGGAATACCGGCTCGATAGCATCGTTTTTAAATACATATTTCTTCTTTCCATTTTTCTTGATAGTCTATTTGGAACGATTATCTAAGATCAGACAGGCTCAGATCTAAACATCCAGTCAACCTTAGTCTCAACCTTTGATTTGACAGATGTGATTAATGTATAAAATCAGCTTAACAAAGATTCTTTACAAATAATTAAAAAAACCTTCACAGCTTATCTAACCTAGCTAGACAGTCTAGCTATGTGACCCGGTTTTAAATTCTGTATACTCGAGCCTTAAACCGTGTAATCTCCTCGACGTGGCGTCACACATTCGTGGAACCTAGCACCTGGAACCTGGGGCAGAAACGTCCTTCTTGTTTCGTCAGTTTACAACAAGCACAAGTGTAGTGGTGACAAACCTAGAAACACAATCGGGGCGAACAGGGATTCGAACCCACGATCACGTGTTTCTGGAGTGCCCAGGAGACGCAACTCTAACCAGCAAATTGCGGTGTCTTGACCACCTGTGCACCCTCACGGTTTCGGGGAAGGGGGGGGGGGGGGGGCTCCTCACGTGTTGTTTGGACAGTTTGCAACCCCTAAAAGACGGTCCGATGGGTCATACTTTTTAGCGCAACACAACGAAAAATCCGAGTCTTAAATGTAAAATCAGGAAAATGTCCATACTACAACTAATCGTAATCATGCTAAAGGTCATGCTAAAGGTCGAATCAAACTAGAGCCAGCGACACAACAAATGCAGTCAGTGTTTGGTGTTTGAAAGACGCGAATTGCAGTCATCATCGAAAGCAGAACCCGCTGTCCACATGTTTTCCTATAGACAGACTTATAATCCGTATTCGCATAGAGCTGATTTCGCATTTTAGCTTCAACGTGACATCTTGTCTGCCATTCGTGTGCTTTGTTAGCCGACGATATAATAACTACTGACCCTCCTAAAACATCTTACCAACATGATGATTCTCAATCCTAATCCGCGACTCTCAAAGACGTCCTAAAGTAACTGTAGCATAAGACATGTAACATTCGACCCAATGGAGACTGATTTCAAACCTTACCTGTTTGTGTCAAAGTAGAAAACTGAAATGCTTAGCGCATGTTCGTACCTGCATGGGGCACGTGAGCCTTTATAAATAGGAACTGTGGCTTGGAAAGCCCAGATAATATCAAACATCAACTACTCTTGTTGAATCCATGAGGCCCTCAAATGAACTAGAAATGACACGTTTGAACACATTCGATAATTAGTCAGTACATTTTCCCTCTTAACACTTTTTTAACTTCAGAAAATAAAAAAAAACTTTGGCAAAACTGTTCGCTAGACGTGACGGATGAGAATATGAATTGCATGTTTTGAAGCAGTGACAGAAAAAAAATATAAGAATAAATTAAATATAAGAGGTTATAAGACATCACGTTGCTGCATCCAATCATTATGTTCTTTATTAATATGCAAACATAAAACCCCAACAGTCTAACCTTTATTTTTCATTTCTGTTAAAATGTGTTTTCACGTAAAGTCTTCGTGACAAAATGAATCTTTTAATAACAAGACAAACGAGTTGTGTTGAGAAACTTGCAATCATAACTCCTCAAGTCTTTTTTGTACTATTGAAATACGACTGTCATAAGTAAGCACTATATATAGCACACACGCATAAGACTTTGCCCATACGGCAGTCGACAGGTTTGGTTATCAAACAGTATCGCCCAGACGCAACCGTCTGTACGTCAGCAGTAGATAGTAGATAAAATAGAACGATCTCATAAGTATGTATTCATGTTTTATGTGCCCTATGACGCAATACCAGGTGTAGGACATATTGTTGTTTGGGTGTCAATATATCCAACGTGGTCATGTCACCGTGACATTCAACATACCAACAGAGACCTGATTGGAAGAACACTGCAACTGATATCGATCCATTTCTCGTTTGTTTTGTTTTGTTTGTATGCTTGTTTAACACCGCACTCACCCATATTCATGTACTGGATTGACCTGACAATCCAGTGATTGACACCAAGAGCATCGATATAAACAGTTTGAACGACAACCTAGCCTGACACCCCCCCACTCCCGATCCCATAAATCGCCTCTTACAGACAATGTAAGGAAAATAATGTATAAAAGAAATATAAACATGACTGGAATATTTGATTATTATATTGCATTTCGATTGGAAGCCGCCAAAATATTATTTAAACTATTTTAACTTTCATCTGATCTGCAAAATAAAAACGAATAAAAAGTAAATTACTATTGTTCAGATTAGTTCTCATGGTATCTAACCTGCATAACATGTTGGATGGATGTGTCTACATTTGTGTATCGAGGAATAATAAACCACAAGTCTCACTTATCACTAAGAAGGGAGGTAAGTCGTATCGTATTGTTCACTATTTACTGTCCTTTCAACTGTTCCAAAGATTAAGTTTGCTGAAGCCGCTAAATCTATACCTTCGGATCACTAACCAAAGCGACTTAGACACGTACGTATGCATCTATCTATGCATAAATATTCTGAGTGACAACACACTCTCCATAAGACTGCATGACACGAGCGATGACTTCAACTTTCCAATAGTCAACTTTCCCTTTATGTCGAGCAATATTCCTGCAGCTCCAGCCTTGGTGTCTACATTTCACAACTTTTGAGGTACAATCGAGCATGATCGTTTCACCAAGATTTCATAGAGCGTCATACCACTCATTCATTCTCTCAGAATTTGTTTGATCAAGGTTACAACTTTAAAGGCCTCAGTACCGTTTTAAGAAAGCTTTATGGTCGACATGTGGAGCACATGTCCGATGCAATTCCCTATTTTGAGTTGTACCATATGTTCTCGTGTTGTTTAGGTGAACAATTGACTTGCCTTTGCATGTGTGTGACGGGTGCTACCGATGGGGAAGGATACGCACACCTTTTTGCGAACACCTGGTATCATCACTATTTTATGGTGATTCAAAGGTGACACTGCATATATTGCAAAATAATAATCAGACTCACTCTCATCTTGTGACCGAACGCATTTTTTCGCTTTTTCTCACAGTATTGTCCTGTCAAAACAATGATCTCAGGTTTCTAGCCCGCCAAAGGGTCGCAACTCTACACAGCGTATTCCGGAGCTTTAGACGACTGATCCCCCTCCCTATCGTGCTCCTGTCCAATGGTATTTGGAGTTACATTGTTTTTGCTTCTGTCATATTGTGGCAGTGTTGTGTACATGTGTATTTTCTGTACTTTCTATATTTGTATACATGTAATGTTTTGTAATGAAATGATGTTTTGACCTTTTTATTGTGTTCCATTAAATTAAATAAACCTGTATAGCTGTTGTATTCTACAGCGCTGCAACAGAATAATGACTTTATCCCTGTGTAGTCGGGCGGCGGTGCAGCCTCTGTGATTTCTCAAGCTTCACCTGGACTTCCCCTATCTATTTTTGGATATGTCAACCACTTCATGTCACTGTGTAGCATCTTGACTTCCTTTAATACCTGTCAAATGCCACCTTTCTTCTGATTGGCCCTTTGGTCCACTTCTTTAAACATCCTTTCTCCCCTGCCCTCCTCATGCATTCTGCATGAATTCTTTCTGGAGGGAGGTCTTTTATTTCCAGGTGAGAAACATTTCAATATTCTTATCTTTTTCCATCCTTTTCTGGAAACAAAT